TCAAGTGTTAGCCTGCTTATGGTTGTTGCTCAGTCCAACTGTCCTTTTCATTGTTATTGTATTCGCAACATATTTCGTTGAAAATGATCGGTTGAATAAGAATTTGCCTTTTGCATGTCTAAGTGCTCTTATACTCTACTCCACAAACATAACCTTAAATAAATAAAACATAATCGCAAACATACTCTGGTTACTTATGTGGATAAGTATATGTATATGTGTGTATAAATATCTATGTATGTGTATATGTGCATATAAATACACATGTAAGTGTACATGTTTGCAACTTTGCGACTTCAGCGCATTGTTTTAGTCACTCTTTTGGTATTTATTGATTTCTTCGTCCGATAAAGCAACATAACTGTTCTCATAAATATTTCACGTTGTTTGCAAGTGTGTAAATACATAAATATTTATACATATCATAACTAAGGGTATGAATATCTAAATTATATATTCCTGCCGCTGCGTGTAGCAACTTTTCTGAAAGTGAATTTGCTGATGGAATTATTACACAGTAGTTTTAGGCGTATAATTGATGAAGATTACCGAAAGGTAYAGGCAAAACTCGTTTATTAGAACCAAGTATATATATAAAAAAAAGCATAATTTTATGTATTTGAAGCACAATATGTTTTATGATTCCGGGGGATCTTTATCTGCAGTTATTACCCAATTTCTTAGCATACATTTAGGCGTATGAACTTGATTACTTTTAGCCACGCTACATAAAGTGGCGCATAAAAGCAATGAAAATAGCAGAAAAATATCGGATAGAAGATAGCTAATAGGCTATTTCTCTAATAGACTTGCTTTAACTAACGATGCTCTCAACTTCACTTGCACAAAAACTTTGAACGAAGTGTGTTCTTATTTGTTATTCAGAATTCACATGACCTTACTTTTGCTAAATATTAGAATTTTTAAGCCTATAAATTCGAATTTTTACATCGAAGATCCTATAATAAATACATACTAACAAATAGATACACATATCAATGCTCAGCATGACGAGCTGACTTGTTTTAGCTATGCCCACCTGTATATACGTGAAATAGCGGAATAGTTTTCAAGATTTCGATCTAAAAATGTATACACGTACGTTTCTCTTGGAGTGGGTGCTCATTTCTTGGAATCGCCTATATCGGAACACTATAGCATATAGTTGCCATACAAACTGATTAATCCAAATTATGTGCTTGTATGAAAAACTTGTTTATATGAAGAGATATCCTCCTGAAATTTGACATAAATTATTATCTAAAGCAACGGTATAAACTCCAAAGAAACCGTTCAGATCGGTTCACTATAGCATATAGTTGCCATACAAACTGATTAATCCAAATTATGTGCTTGTATGAAAACTTTCTTATATGACGAGATATCCTCCTGAAATTTGACAAGAATTATTGTCTAAAGCAACGGTATAAACTCCAAAGAAACCGTTCAGATCGGTTCACTATAGCATATAGTTGTCATACAATCTTACTGTCAAAAATAATTTTTTTAATTTTTCTCCTTTTTATTTATACCTTAAGCGCAGTGTAGGGAGTAAAATTTCATAAACTTCTATTCTCTCATACACTTTCTATATAAACTCTTTATCAACTCTTTTCCCACTGAACTTCTTCCCAAACTTTTTGTCTTCTGCATTGGTAATTTAATTTAACACACGATTAACTGCAAGCCAGCAATAATTCTTACCGCTTTGTTGGCATTATATTGCGCAACATTGTTGCTTTTGTTGCATKCTGAAAGCAACTTTAATGAATTAACTCAGCATGTGGCGCGGCGACATTGTCGAGTGCTTTATTGTGCCATAAGAGACCACATACATACTAGCTTGGCAGAGTTGAACCGGTATTTGCATGCGAACGCACACACAAAAAATATACTTCGTKATACATACATACATATGTGTGAGTGCATAGCGRCATAAAGCGTTATAGTACGAAAAAAGGAGCATATAAAAGAAGCACATGACCACAATCCCTTGAGTCATAACACCTTCGTTGCTCGCTCCTCGCCGCGCGMTCCATACGACTACAGTCTGCGCCGCGCTCGCCTGCCGTGCGCTGACCACTTAATTCATATGTATATTCATTCATTTATCTTCGCCGGGCAAAAGATTAAAATAATGATCCAATCAGCGGCGGCGGAAAAAAAATTATAATAAAATTTCGCAAACAAGCTAAAAACCGCAAAAGTAGTTTAATTTCTTTGCCGTGTTTACCAGCGGTGCGAGTGTGTGTTTATGTTCTGCTRCGACATTGGCTGTTTAAGAATTTTTGCAAAACCAACGCACATATATACACTGGCGACCAGTAAGCTTGTGGTTTTTCGGGTTTTTGAAGTCATGTTTTATTAATTTTTGCTATTTACCACAATTTAAAGCTTTTCGATTTTTTCTGAAT